TGGCAGGATAGATAGATCTAGATTTAGAACTTAGATCCACTCTAGATCTATCTGTTTAGAGTGGATCTAGAATCTAGAATATAGATCTAGAGACTAGAGTCTATGTGTATATAAACAAACCAAAAAGAATACTAACCTTCCTCTTTCTGTTACTAGCGAGTCCTTTGATACCCATATCTGTTTTCTCTAGCCTTTTTTTTGGAAATAAAACTGTAGTGAAGGAAGCGCTAGCCTATCAGAAAAACTAACGGTCAACCCTTAGTCACAGCAAAGTTGCTAGCCAAAGCCTATTGTTTTCTTTCACCACGTGAAACAGATCTTGAGTGTGCGTGCATTATTACCTCCCTTGCAATCTATGCTATTTAAAAATATGAAGAGTAATTTATAGCGAAACGTTGCAAATTATGAATTTAGCCTTGGCCCGAGTTGGCCCCCTGTTACACCATTATGTTTTTCAAAGCGACATTTTTGTTGAACTAAAATCAAGATCTGACATACAAAATATGACTTCTAGTATTATTTATAAATCTTTAAAACTCAGAACAGACGAACATAATCGGTAATCTTAGGCCTAGATTTCCAAAATGCCAAATGGCAAGTCGCTAATTTAGATCTATCTAGGCATGGCCTACTTGAGAAATTCTGGCATTTATTAAACGAAATCGAAAGTAAGTTAGTAAGAAGTAAGAAATAAGTCCTCCGAACTCTTACGAACCCCGAAACAAGTGATTGACACAAATTCAAAGTGTACAGTACAGTTTCCCTTGACGTGTAAGTTGTATTTATTGTTAACATGAGGTAAAGTATTATAAAGTAAAGGTCATCAGTGGAACCCAGTAGAATTAATTCAACGAACATATTATGATTGGTGAAAAGCGTTTTTTCGAAACATCCTGTTATCGATAACGTTGTTGAGTATGATCGTGATCACATGTTATGTAAGGCTTAGCCTTCGTGTAGTGCAAGTGCAGCTCGCCCAACTCATGACTTTTTTTGTCCATAACGTTTGACTAGATCTAGAATCTAGATCTAGATCTACCTGCGCCAGTTTTTATCTAACCGTTACCACTAATCTTTTTTGAGAATACAGTCAAAACTGTGTAAGACGGCCACCCATTGTCGAGGAGAAAAGTGGGCGCTTTTTCGGTAGTTCCCACCCCGCAATTGTTATTGACGGGTTTTGGCCCCAAGAGTAGGGGGGTTTCAGGGGGGCTTGCTCCCCTGACCTAATATAGCGTCAGATGTCTTTTCGATGAACGATCGTTTTTTCCTCCGTTTCGGAGTTCGAAGAATCACAATTTGAAGAAAAGAACAATGCATATATATAAAATTTCAATCGAACAGTGACCCTCTCTATTTCTCTGCCTCTCTCTTTCCTCTTTGTTTTGTTTTTGTAAAGTGTTATACGGCGCTCGCAACTGCATAGGTCATATGAGCGCGCGAGACACACCAAATATTTTCAGTTGGTAGGAAATTGGGAATTTTGCTCGGGTGGCGGCCGAAGCCTACTCTTATCGATTTTAGACCACCAAGGGATCTTAAACGTGCGCAACTTGCACACGGGCCCTCCGAGATTTTTCGCCCTTGTCCAAGAAGGCTAGGTGTAGATCTTTCCTACCAGAAGATCGGCGCTTTTTCGGTAGTTCCCACCCCGCAATTTTATTCACGGGTTTGGCCTTGGGCCACAAGAGTAGGGGGGCTTGGTGTGGCAGAAAGACAGCGGTAAGGAGGAGCCAAGGAGTAGCAGTAGAAAGGCTGCAGAAATAGTCAGGAGCCCAGAGGAGGGGACAAAGGAGGTGAGGGGATGGGGGCAGAAAGTGGAATTGAAAGCCGACAACAACATTGCTAGAGAGCTGGAAAGGAGGTGAAAGACAATTTTAGAGAGGAAAATTTTTCGGCCGCTACCCGGATTCGAACCCGGGACCTTTGAATGAGAGGCCAACACCTTAACCTCTAGGCCACGAGAGCCCCCTTCTCTCTCCTCTGTGTATCGCTCGCCTTTTCTTTTTCTTTGTCTTTGTCTTTCTCCCTCCCCACCTATTTCCCACTTGTGTCTTTCTCTCATTCCCCCCTGCCAACTGGGGCATGTTACTCATGTTATATATTTTGCTAGCACATCTCTCTCTCTCTCTCTCTCTCACACACACACACACACACAAACACACTACCGGGTCTGGGCGCTGAAACTTTCCGAAATCACAAAAAAGTTCCCCTACCGGGTCTGTATACTTCGTGACTTTGTTCCCGGTAACCGGGTCTGTGTACACTTCGTTTTTATTTTGTTGCTGATTTTGCGCAAGGATGACAATAAAACGAAATGTATCAGACAAGGAAGACCAAGTGCCATATTAAAACAAACACATGGGTAGCCACCACTCGGAGAACGAGCAACGCTTCTGTCACAATTTATATTGTTACTTTGTTACAGACTGGGTAAACAGTGACCACTCATCTCACTTACGATTTGTGTATGAGTTCTGGGCGGGGCTTATTTATGGGGTATGAGGGATCACACACTTACCTCTCCAGCAGCTGAAAATTGGTACCTATTGGTCAACACTGGTAGGAGCCTACGCAACAGTTGGAGGGACTACCTAACAACAACGACAGGTGATTGAATTATGACGGCTCGCCAACAGGGCCCAATGCACAATTTATGACAAAACGTAATGGAGTCACTAAGGTGGCCGTCTAAGACAGGTGTTATTGCTTAGTCTGATAGGGGTTGTGTGTTAAAATATGGTGGCCGCGGCCGCGTTGGACAGGTACCCGTTTTACACGGTTAAATTATGTAGAAAAAACGCAAAGGGGGGATAGAAAGTGGCCGTTTGTACAGGTGGCCGTCTTATAGAAGTGGCCGTCAGGGCAGGTTTGACTGTATTTAGATCTAGGTCTATAGGTTCTAGATGATGTCTTATGGCCCATGCCATGAAAATGTTGGTGCTTTTTGAATAGTTCCCACCCCCCTTATTTGGGCACTCCTGTACAATTGCGGTCCTATTTGCAGTAAATCACACCAGTCCTTGGGTCGGTAAATTTATAGAAACCCTCCCGTCTCATTAAGGGTAATAATATTTTGCAGTTTTTTTAGGGCCCTGAACACGATTTTGGCATTGAAATTGAAAAACGTCACAAATGGTTAGTTTAGATGTTACGGCACTTTATTACCCGCCCTACTGCATAGCTATAACATACTCGCCCGTCAGGGGGAGACCCCCTGAACCCCCCCCCCAAAATGCATTATCCAAAAAAAATCCTAAAACTAAGCCTTACCTTTAAACTTTAAAAAATGACCTTATTCGTATATACATCCGACGGCACTAAAGTGGTGAAGGGGCTGATTTCCGGTAGTAGATGTGACTCGAAACTGGAGTGCTTCTCTAAAAATACCCCTAGGTCTAGCACAGAGTACTGGATATCAAAAAGTAATTGTTTACAACCAGAAGTAATCATCGGTGGGGTCTAAACTAGCAAGTATGATTCCCAAACAGGGCCGCAATTAATTGTACAGGAGTGCCCTGTGCTAGGCCTAGTGTGATTTAGCACAAACGGGACCGCAATTGTACAGGAGTGCCCTTATTTGAGCCTAGATCGACATAACCCCCCACTATATTTTTGTAAGTCACTGTGGCCCCATTAAAAACTAGACCTATTTCTTATATAAACAAAACGCAGACGGTTCATGGCGCCGTGAACGTAGTCTGCAGGCTACGTTCACTGTGCCCTAAATGCAGTTTGCAGGCGCTGTTGAGGCTATGTTCGCGGCAATATTTTAGCTTCGTTTAGGGCAAAAATGAGGGAGTGTTCACTGCCTGTTTTAGTCAGTGACGACAGTGATGTAGATTCTATATTTAATATTAATGCCAGCTTCAAGTGTTCCATCCCATGAGATGAAGGAAAACGAATCCGTGATCCTTGACCGATCGAATATTCGTCGTGTTCCCTTACACTGAGCTCTGGCTCAGAGCTCGCCAATGTGCGGGAAAACGACAAACTCTTAATTAAGCAACAATGCATTAGGAATGGCAAAAATGCGTACACACGCCTTCCAAGATGTGTCAGTTGCCCTATCTCGCGTCCAGGCGAGACTTGGGCACGACCTTGTGTTAGCATGTGACGGCCTATACGAGGGTAAACAAATGTTCCAGCGCTCTCGGGTTGAAAATGCAATTTTGTCTTCCGGCAGTGTGTGTGTTGTGAGAGAGAAGAAGGGGGGTGGGGGTAGAAAGAGGGAGGGAGAGACAGACAGGGAAAAATACACAGAGAGGGTGTTTATAATATATAAGAATAATTGATTCCCGTTATTTTCTCTGTGCGTCGGATCCCAGACTGACCTGGTGCAATACAGTCATTGTTGTACACATTTTATGACCAGTCCCATCTTCCGAATGTAGTGTAGTTGGGGTACAAAATAGATAGGCCTAACTTGACGAATTCACAACTGTCAGTTGCTGTTTAGCAATAGAACCACCAGTAAGTCCAATCATCATCATCCAGTGCCAGATCTGCGACAGACATGGGCGATCATGGTTTTCCATTCATTCCTTTGCTCGGATGCTCTCAAAAAAGCTATGTTTCCCTGATCCTTCCCTGTTACCTATTTGTTTAGGTTCCCTAAGTTTGTTCTTCTGGGCCTACCCCTGCCTTGCTTGCCCTCAATTTTGCCAGTGAGAGCTAGATGTTCTAGACCCTTATGTCTATTCAGGTGTCCCAAAAACTGCATTTGTCGTTCCCCGATTGTTTTTAACATTGAGCGTCCCACGTGGGCTTCATCAAGCACTACTTCATTTGATTTCTTTTCCTTCCACGATACTCTTAGCAGTCTCCTAAGAAACCACATTTCTGTTGCTTCTATTTTTTTTTTTCACTGTCTTTAGTGATTGTCCAGCATTCACAGCCATACAGAAGGGTTCACCAAACATAGCATTTCAGGACTTTAAATTTGGTGTTCATTGAGATGTTTCTATTTTTCAGGATTGGGCTTATTTTATTGAAACTAGCCTTAGCCATTGTAGTTCTCCTCTTTATTTCTGTGGAACATTTGGCGTCAGATGTTATCATATATCCTAGATATTTAAACTTTTGGACTTGTTTGATATTTTCACCTTTGCTAATGAAATTACAACTAGGGTTTGCTGCTTTTTTGGATATAACCATGCATTGTTTTCTTTATATTCAACAATAATCCTTTATGTTCACTTTCTGTTACAACATTATCTAGAAGCAATTGAAGGTCCTTTTCGGAACCTGCTATTAAAACTGTGTCATCTGCATACCTGATGTTAGATGTAAGTCCAATATGTGTATATAATTGTCACGGTGCAGTGGAATCGGGTAGATCTAGATCTACTTGTTAAAAGCTTTTGGCCATATATATATGGAGGTGTTGGTTTATATTCTTAAATTAAAGCATCATCTATTTTGAACAGAAGTCGAGATATTTGGCAATTTGCGATGGAAAGAAATGGGGACTGCCTTGTGTCACAGAAAAAATTTAATGAAAAAATGACCCCCAAAGTTTGATGACTTACAAAGCTGTAGTGTTCTTAGAAATCGTAAATTTACTTTTTTTTTAGTGCTATAAGTTAAAATCCCAGTAGGAATGTGTTTTTAAAAGGACATCAAATTCCAAATGTGTTGAGGCCAAAACAAAACATTTTGATTAAAATTGCCCAACAGGTGGGAAAATGTTTTCTTTGATTTCATTATTTTTGCAAGCGCTTGATTTGACCGTGATGCCTCACAATTGTTATCTTGTCAGAGGACAAGTAGAGAACTCCTTACAGTTTAGAATGGGCAGTTATTGAATATTTTATATATCACTTTTTAAAATATCTCTTCTTCAGCCACATTTCTTTGCATTTTGTGCAAGTAAAAGATTTGCTGCCTCTCACTGAACCAGACTGAGGCCATGAAGCTCCTGACCCACAACATGCTGACTTCCAACATCATCAAGGGTGTGTCAAATGGTTTCCCGTTGGGTATCGTGGTAAGTCAGACTGAAATCACACTTCTTCTTCTTCTTATTATTATATATATATATATATACATATATATATATATATATATATATATATATATATATATAGTTAGTGGTCTCGTCCCACTTTTGAAAAGCAAAAATAGCTCAGCTACTTTCTTCTTTTGAATGTATCACAAATATATTACTTTTATTTCTTTTCATGTGTTGTGCTATTTTTAGCCGTTTGATATGTGATATAATGTATCTGATCTTTTGTTCTGGCATAGAATTTCAAAATATTTATGATAATTACATTTCTTGACATAGTGGCATATATATCACTGCTCTCTATGCATTGTTGCAGTTTTTAGAAATTGATAAGATTTTAACAGACGTAGCAGCCTCTTGGAGCTGTGGCCGCTTCTTTTAGATTTGCATTCATTAGGCAGTATGATCACATGTTTTCTGCCCCATCATAACATGCACCGTAATAAAAGTACAGTGAATGAAACCTGTTGTAGTGACTACCTGTCCAAAATAATCACCTGAACACCCCCCCCCCCCCCCCTCTGGCCCTTACATTAAAAAAATATATACTAGAAAGACACTGTCCAAAGTGTCTTCCTCGGAAAAACCACTTTGTCCTTGGCAGTGGGTAGCCGTCATGGACAATTTAGTTCTTAGGATATTTCATGAATTATTGCACCCCTTTCGACCCCACCATGTACTTATGTTATAATCTACACTTTTAAGAAACATACTTGTTTGGTAAATGGATGGTTCCCTTGTCTTGGTGGTGTTCACGTGATTTCTCTAGAGTGAGGATTGTATTGTTTTTTGTAAGAATTTCTTGGCGTGGCTACAATAATTCTTCTAGTTTTATTTTTTGTGCTTCTAAAGTGAAATTAAAACTGGTTTGGCAATGCTTGTGTTAGGATAATATATATGATGGTGTGTTTTTCTTTTTCTTTTCTTGTTTTTTTTTTCCTGTTTTTAAAATAAAATATTTTAATTTTTGCTCCAATGAAGGCAAATAAAGTGGAAGTGAAGGATGTGGACTTCAACCAATCGTTTGTGCTCAAAACTTTGTCTAAAGTGGACTGGAATGCCCTTAGACAAGCTGCCACTCAGGTGAGAATACTCACTGTTTATTCAGCATAATTTGTTTGATGTCTCAGTTTTGTTGTGTAATTGGAACTGCCCGAAATTTTTCAGTACACTTTGGGTGCAGAACCTCAATTTCTTTGACAAGTGAACTGTGAAATGTTCTTACCATTTTATTGCTGAAGGTTTAATTTGTGGTTTAACATCCCTTTTTAAGAGTGTAGTTACCTAGGAAGCAGAGCCATACTTAAATGTCCATTCCAAAATGACTGAACTAAACTGTTGAACTGTGGCAGCTCAGCTCAAGTTACCCTGCTCACACCTGCCAACCTCCTCAATTTTATAAGGATATTATGGAATTCGGTTTGCATTTCCCGGGGTCCCAATAATATTATTTTCCCAATTAATTAAACCATAGAGTAGAAGAAAAAATCCTTTTTTTTCTCCTAAATTTGTGAAGATAGCTGTGAACAAATAAAATAAATAGGAAGCATGTTTTTCCCAGATGTAGGGGCCACTTTGACGATACTGGTTGTTTTTCCTGCTTCTTTGTCCTTCTTGTTCCTCCATTGTTGTGCAGTGTCTTCTGTAAACCGGTTCTCCATATTTCTTTTTCTTTTGTAAAAAATAACACTGCGTCACATTTGTTTATGACATTCAGCAAAGAGTTTGATGATATCCTCCATGTAAGAAGTTTTATGATGTGGTCATCGAAAATATACAGCCACCACTCAAAAAGTTTCACAAAAGTGGTTCAATTTATGACTTTTAATATCATATTCAGAAGGATTACTGTATGGTTCATCTGAGATTTCCGTTTTATTCCCCTTTACTAAATCTGTATGTTGCTGTTTGACTCAATTTTACTTTAAAATATTTAGCCTCAAAATAGTAGGTTTGCAGGAGTTTGATCTTTTCACACATTTCGTTTTCTTCTAGTGTCTGTGGTGTAGTAGTTAGGCACTACTTTGTCGCCTGCAGGAGACTTGAGTTTGATTCCCGACTTGGGGGCTATCTTGGTCTTTCTGCAGGGATATTGTTTCCCTCACAGCCTGGGTCGGCCCTGACAGACAAGGTAGGAAGGGCACCTCCTAAATGATCTAAATTGTATGGATGCTGGTGTACAAAACACCTGCATTAAGACAATTTTTTAAATTGACTCATGAATTTTGTTTCTAGTATCTGTAAGTGTAATGTATAATGTTCTTCAGGTTGGTCATGGAGATGGGCTGCCCGAAGAGCTGGGGGAAGACTTGAAAGAAAATGATGATGTTCTGAAAAAAATTCACAATGCTATGCTCCAGGTAGGTTATCGTACTTGCCCGTTTTAGTTTACACATATAGTCTATGTGAGGTGTGCTGACAAAATGAGTCACTTCTTGCGATCCTAGAATGGAGGTTTTCAGTTGATGCCATTTTCTTCAAGTCTACTATGTCTTTTATTATTCCATACTTATAAATTGCACAAACTCCACCTATAAAAGTAATATATCAATTTCCGTACGACTAAAATCCGAGAAGTATCTCATTTTGTCAGAACCCCTCACATATGTTACTGTTACCATGTTCAGGCATAGAATTTAAGAAAGAAATTTTTTTTAAAATCTTATGTTTGCCTTCGTGCAGCAATCGGCCGTCTCTCCTCCTGTGCTGCTGCTGGGCCTCCACCCCCTCCTTCTAGGTGTTCTCCAAGCTGTTTCTTGTTGCCTTTTCCAGATCTAATGAAATGCTTTCTTGTACGACCAAAAGCCGGTGTGTCAATTGGTTTGTTGCTGTTGTTGTTGTTTTTTTAATGATGCTTAATAATATGCAAGTGTTATTAAAAATATGCCAACTGCCATTTGATAAATAGTTGAGAACTGTATGGGTGTGGGTATAAATTCTGGGTTCAGTGTTTGAAAGTTAAAAATGTGTTTATGCTTTACAAGACTTATGTCGATTTTGTAATGCATTCCGCTATGACCGTATGCAGTTGCGAGTGCCTTAAAACTCTTACTAAACCAAACAAAAGTTAACTACTGCTGGTGGCAGTGACCATACCTCCCAGGTGTAAACAGCAGGCTTCAGGTTCCTGTCCTGTCTTCTGTGCAGGGGAAAATGCAACCCGTGACCTATCTTTGAATCGTTTTGTGAAGTCGTTTTGACATTCATTTTGCATCATAAGCATCACTGATTTAGATTAACTCTGAAGTTAGGCAAAATTAACTGTTCTTGGGCTTTTTATCGCCGATATATTGGTAACTTACGGTCAAGTCAGCATGTTCGGATGTATCTCTGGTGTCGTGGCAATGTGAACAGGTTCCAAAGGTTGTTTCATTTAATGTCTAGTCTTGCTTACGTTACACCAGGGAACATCACCATTGAGTTAACTTTCCTGTGATCTGTAACTGCCACTTCAATTGTTATACACCATCAATAAACCTTTTTTTTTTCCCATACCTGCAAAATTATTTGCAGTTAGTAGTGTTACAAATTAATTACGTCCAAATGGTTTCAACTGC